TCCAAATCCATTTCGAGACTTTTACCCGTATGGGACTCTAACACATTTTGGGATCCACCACATTTAGGACTTTAACCTAGGTCGAATGAAGTATCAGTGTATATTTTCCAATTCTTACTTTCCATAAGCATCAAACTTTGGGACGACACGACAATGCAGTTGTTTCCGAATACATGACTAGTTCATCAACATAACATGATTGTACACATCAATCACCAGGTGTTCACATCCACCAATTCTCATAATAATAAATCATGTTCTATACAAAACATATTAGTTTGTGAATAAACTATAATTCTAGCGACTACTCGTCCATGACACACACCGAGGTACCTTTACGCTAGGGCTGACAATGAACCGAACCAACTCGAAAATAGTTCAGAATTCGATTCAACAATTAAATTGTTGAACTAGGTTCATGAACCAAATGAGTTGAGTATGAGCGAAAAATTAAGTTTGTTAACAAAATGAGCTGAACTTGAACTATGCATAGTTCGACTCGTTAGGTTCATGAGTCAACTCGATTACATATGAGAAGAATTATACTGTCTTTAAGATTAGATTTAAATATTTACTCCAAATCTTAGACAAATTTAATCTTCAATTTAATAGTTTTTAAATTAGACTCGCAAATGTATCTCTTGAAAGTTGTGTAGGTTTTGAATTAGTAGATTTCGAAGATAAAGTTAAATTTCAATATGAAAACTTTTATTTTATTTTAATATTTTATTTTAAAAAAATATATTTATTTAAAATGTCAAATATACACAAATATATATATATATATATATATATATATATATATATATATATATATATATATATATATATATATATATATATATATATATATATATATATATATATATATATATATATATATATATATATATATATATATATATATATAATAGTTTTTAAGTTCGTGAATCATGTGAGCTGAACCTAATGAGTGAACCTAACGAGTTGAATCGAATTGTTCATAAACTTATAACGAGTCGAGTTTGAACTTAAAAAAAAGTTCGTGTCGAACTCGAACTCAAACTCGAACCAATTCTTAACGAGTGAACTGAGCTGAGGTGAGTTCGACTCGATTCGACTCATTTCCAACCCTACTTTGCGCCCAAGCATCGCCGTCTAAGTCATTTTCATAACCTAAGTTATCTTTCTAGTTTATTCACCTAGTTAGACTTCTAGATTTCCTCACTCATCTTCATAAGGTTCTAATCATGTTATTTCACAATCAAAACATCCAACCAATTTATAGCATGCACATTAGTATATCACAATATCATACATGAAACACACATGGTAGCATAACATGTCACAATAACCATAGGCAAATCCATCTCACAACTCACTCATCATTATCTTAGTTTATTCGTGTTGTTATGCACAAATAAGTCAAATATAAGTAGTTCACTTAAGGCGTATAATCATTACTATCCTCCAACAAGCCTCCTTGGTTAATCCATGGTCTCTCATCACCATGCAATGACCCATTGAATAATCTTTCCAATGCTTCATGTTTCATATCAAACGGATCCATGGTTTTTGAATTATGATGGAAACAAGAACCACATAATTTAACCTAACTAAGATTCTAGGTTAAACATGCCCGAACTCATGTAAATTGACCAATTAATGTTAGACTAATGCATGCACATCATAACATAAGTTATTAGACTCTTAAGATGGCTTATAACCCCTTGAAAACATGATTTTTGAATAAAATAGGGTATACAATTGATTGCATAAAGGGTTCAATCAATTACATCAGCTTCCTGAACTCTCTGTTTCTGAATTTTTGGGGCAACAATCGATTGTTCTAAAGGTGCAATCGGTTGCACAACTTGATTTTTGTGATTTTTCAGCATTTGCGAAGGTGCGATCGATTATAAGATATGTGCAATCAATTGTCACTGTAAGTTTTGTCAAAAATACCTATTTTAACATGTTTCCTTCCATTTCTAACCATATACAAACACTTCTAGTAGCAATAACTCAAAGAGTAGAAAATTCGCATGATATAGATTCACATACTACACAAATATCATCATAGTAACAATAACATTTTATCACATGAAGAGCACAACAACAATGAACATGTTTTCTATTCCTATGTTCATCATCAAGCAATAAAGATTTATTAAAATGATGAAATTAAGATGAATTTGGTGATGATGATTTTCTTCATCCTTTCTATTTTTTCTTCTTCCTTCTCTTTTTTCTCCTCTTCCTCTTTCTTCTTTTCTATTCCTCTTCCACTTTCTCACGTTTTTCTTCAATTTCTCTCTTTCTGATACTTCTTTCCTCCCTTATCTACTTTCTTTCTTTCTCTTTTATTCCTATCCATTTCTTCTTCATTTAATTCTCTACCACACAAATATATCTACAAACTATATAATATATAATAGGCATAATTAGTCCCCGGGTCCTATAAGTTAATTTTCTAGGAGGCCCATATGACACCTCCTTATTTCCTATCTATGTTAAACATGTTGTTAAGCATGTATCGGAAAGAGAGGTATGTTTATTTACTTTTACGTTATATTTGTTTAATACTAATTGAGTTGTGATTGATGTTGGTATTGTTTTTTATAAGAGTGTGAAACAATAAAATATGTAAGTCATGTCCTGAAGATTTTAAAATGGAACAAAATACAAACGATGGTTTCAAAATTGTGTTCATTACTTTGGGCTTACAGGTTTATGTGTCATTAGATACATGACCATTAACCATGGCATGTTGGCTGCTTTTGTGGATAGACGACATAAGGAGACATCATCTTTCCACATCCCTCACGGTGAGATGTCCATCACCCTTGATGTTGTCTTGTGTCTACTAATCCATTCCTGGATCCACAAATGCGAGGCAATTGATTTGATGATAAACTTATTGTAAGATGACCAGGAGAGGCCCAAAAGGAGCTTGATTCCACAAGAGGCGTTCATGCCTTATTTTCATACCCGAATGACTTGTACAAATCCACTTGGTTGAGGAAGTTGTGGCCGAAGCTGATGACGAACAGGTTTTATTCTACAGACAATGTACATTGAGGTCATACTTTCTATAATTGGTTGGCACAAAAATATTTGTGAACAAAAGTGCAACTTACGTCGATGTAATCACGTAACATACTTCACATATTTAGATAAGATCCATTAGTACAACTGAAGGGCCACATCTTTGATTTATTTGTACTCCAAACTAGGTGAAACTTGTCTTTGGAAGACAAGACAAATGACTGGTATATGAACAAAATGTCAATGTATTGCGCAAGTTACAAGAGATGTCATTGAGAGAGGAGACATTGTGATTACAAACCATCTTACCTGAGGCATAAAATGCCTTGGAGTATAGGCGGTGACAGAGGAGAAGCAGAGGAATTAGAAATACTCACTAGTTTATTTTTATTTGTATTTTGGTAACAGTTGTATCGTGATAACATTTGAATTATTTATCGTAGTAACATTTAGATTTGTAATATTGTTTGAATTTATATCAGACATCTTTAAATTACAATAATATAATTAGCATTGTATTAATATATCCTTAATATAATCATCATTGCATAAAAACATATCAATTAAGGACACTTGTTACCTAGACAAAATTTGTCAAATGTATTCAGAAGTTATAGATGTATCTATGAAATCACACTTAAAAATTTTAAAGGATACATTTCCAAATTATATTTTAATAAATATAAAGTGGGTGGTTCACTTATAAAATACTATAAAACTATAAAAGGACAAATCCGAATTTCTAGTTTGTCCAATTTTATTCCATAAAGTGGGTAAAATAATCCTTTAACATGATAGGATATTTAGTCCTCTGGCTATTCCACAATTTCCTGATCACTAACGACTTTCCTTTTGTAGCCACATTCTCTAACTCAATATGTTTTAGACCTTCTTCACTTATTGGAAGTCTTGCATTGCACTAACATTATCACTCACTTTGAGAGAATGCTTATAGAAATTATGAAAACTTGGCCATAATCACTAATGAGGAGATTCAATTCCTATTCTTTATAAATGATTACAAAAAGTATCTACGCTTGATAGAAATTTCAATCTGTCACCAAAACACAATTAACTATTAAAATTAGAGTTTGATTTAATTCTTCCCCTACAATATGACACTCCATATAAACCACAATACTTTCTTTTACGATGATAAGTGACACTCTCAATGGTAGATTATATCATTAATCAACAAGACTTTATGTATTATAAGATGATAAGTGAAACTTCATATAAGCCTCAATTGCAAATTTTATCTTTAATCAATATAAGACTTAATACATTAATATACCTGTGGATAACCCGAATCACGTGAATTCTCGATATGTGAAACATTCAAAATGTGAAACTTAATGCGTTATTAACAGGCTCTATCATTATTCAATATGAAACTTGGATTTCTCTCAACAATAACAACAATTACAAATTTAAGTGATCTATCATTAAAAAATATAGTTTCTTCATAAACTCTCCAAAATACTTTATTAAAACTTATGACATGTCCGTGAACTATTTTCATATTATTTTGCATAAGCTTTCTAATATAAGTTTTAAAAGAACAGATAAATTTAATTTTTCCTTTCTTAGAAAAGTAATTTATACATAAACAATTATCATATAAAGTTATTTATTCCATTAGAGCTTATGTCATTAAAATTAAATAAAAACAAACTATAGTAGTAGTTTCCTTCCTGTATTTCAGGTCATCTGCACAAGCAGGAATTATAGATTTCAAAATTCCAAATATCTTTTTAACCACAATCGACATGGAACCAAATGCTAAACCAATCCTGCAAGAAAAGGATCCATGGTTCCATTCCATGAACTAAGAATTATTGTAATTCACTAAATCGACACAAAAACTCTTTGCAAAATCACCTCATAGTTACATAACAAACTTATATCCAGCCAAGTAAAATCTATCTATTTCTACATTCAATTGTATTATTGTTATGATTCTATCTTCACCATCACCTACCAAACCTTTCAACTCTCCTGCGGCGCAATTCATCCATTGAAAGACCATCAGAATCATAATAATCACGACGCAAAGAAGAAGAACCCCTACTAGTACCACACATCTCACAAACATTCAACAAACCAGGATTATCATAAGTACAAGCCTGGCATCTCCAATCAACAGCAGGCCGAGCATTCGCATTCCTCCCCGCACGTCCAACCCTCCCCCTACCAGTAATCCGCCCCATCCGAAACCCAAACAAATTACCCAAAAACCTCACAGGCCATCTCAACAAAGAACCAAAACCCCTAAAAATAGAACTCAACGGATTTGAACCGGAATAATTCCGTCTCAACCTTAGATAAACAAGTCCGGCAAGTATACCACTAAGATGACCTAGAAACGATACACCAGGTACAAACATTTGAATAAGAATCAACTCAGCCCAAGCAGCGTAACGCGACGGAACTGAAACACCGTAAACATTAGTGTAATCATCCGATTGTGAATTGAGAACTACTTTCATAGCGAATAGAACGCCGGAGAAACCAACGGAGTATTCGTAGTAATAAGATCTTTCGTAATCGAAGAAAATAAGCAAGGATTTGGACAAAATTAGGGTTATACTCTGTGATAAAGCGAGAAGAGAAGCTACCGTAGAAGCGTATTCGAGACTTCCCATGGAGTTTTCTAGTTGAATACCTTTCCAGAGAAGAGAAATCATGTTGTAAACGAGGTGAGAATCTCCGATATGGTAGAACGGCGATAAGAAGAATCGTTGTAGATCCTTGTTCTGCAATCGAGATTAGGTTAATTGATTAATTAATTGAATAGATGATGAATTGATTGAGATTCAAATTGAAATAGAAATACCTTGAGGATGAGGTGGGGGTTGAACCAGACATGATCGATGGGTGGAATGAGGGAACGGAGGAAATTGGGTCGGAGATAGATGAGAGTGTTGGCGGCGATGAGGGCGGCGGTGACGGGAGGTTTTGAGTCGGATCTGTAATATTCGGTGAAGGTGTGAAGAGCGAGTAATGGGAGCATTCCTCGCGAAATTCCTCTTCCGGTGTTTGCTTCCATGATTTTGTTTCACTTTTCTTCAACTTGTCTTGAAATTCCGATGACATGTATATAGCGATTCACGACTTGGCCATTAAGAAAGGTATTTAAAATTCATGAATCATGATTTGGGTGTTGCGGAAAGAACCTTCTGGATTCTTTTTGTTTTTTGCAAGTTTTGTTTTGGATAAATAAAATATTTCGTCATTAAATCAATAAGATCTCTTTCACTCAGCCAACTCGACACTTTTAACTGATGTGGCATTTTAAATTAACGCCAATTTTATTATTTAATAATGAGTGAATATCAAAATAGATTCACTTACTATCATTTTAAATTTATTTTTTAAAATGAAATTTTTTTTCTTTAGCTATTGAAATAATCACGCACAACATCGTGCGTGCGTTAGGGATGTATTTGTTACATCATGCATACAATAAATCTATAATGCATGCGATGATGACTTTTTTTGAGTTTTTTCTGACGCGTTCTGACCCGTTTTTAACTCTTTTTAAGGGGTATTTCTGCATTGTTACAAGGGTTACGAATTTTGGCACTTAAAGTCCGATTTTACAACATCAAAGGGTGACTTTGAGAGTATCGGAAGTCGTTGAAGATCAATCCTTCTAAGAAATTCATATGTTATTCTCTTTATTTCAATTGGTATTGTAATTTTAACTATGAGTAGCTAAACTCCTTTAGGTTAGGTTGTGTGTGGTGAACTTTTTTCAATCTTGTTGGATTATATGTTGATTTGACTTTGTATGAATCTTTTGAACTATAATTTTATTCAATTGCTTATCGTTCTTAATACTTTTTATTTGAGATACTCTGTTAAATTGATATCGGACGCATAGGGATTACTAACTCTTAGCCTATGTGTTGGACCTCGGACAATTATTCTACTTACGCTGGTTGAATAGGAATAGAAAATCCCGAATAGTGGCATAGGGAATTAAAGTTTTGTATATCGCCTAATCTCACTTACGTTGATGGACTAGGAATAGGAAGCTTCGGGTAATAATTAGTGAGTTATTTCATGAGGGATTGGTTATAGTGGCTTTACTAATCCGTCGTGGAATTATAGGGATAAGATCATTCATACAAGGCATCAAATATCAACAAAAGAGAATTCGGGGATTTGATACACAACATGTCCGTCTTAGTCATTATGTTTAAATCTCTTTTTTTTTTCCCTCTATAATCTGGAGAAAAAAAACCTAATTTATTGTTTTCTTTACTTTGCACAAATATTGTCATGTTCGAACACAAACCTTGTGGATTCGATCTTTTATTACTGCAATATCATCGGTACACTTGCTGAGAAGTCATCAAGTTTTTTGCGTCGTTGTCAGGGACTGTTGATTGCAACATGGCAACGCTTTATTTTTATTTTTAGTTTTTATTACTTTTTGTTTATTTTCTTGTTAGTATTACTAAGGTATTTTCTGTTTGTGTATGCGCAGTTTAGGATCGACATTATTACCATTCGATCCAGAAACTGAAAGAACCACATGTGCTCTCAAAAAAGCAGCTAGAGAAGCAACTCTGGCTGAAGGAGATCAACTAGAAGATCCACCACTGCTTTCTTCAGACACTGAAAAGGAGGATAACATGGCAACACCAGTTGTCGTTACTAAAAAAATGAAACGACGGAGAGGCGAAAATGAAAAGACCGAATAGTCGCCATCGAACTTTATTTATCCCAAAAGGGGAAGGGAAAACATCAAGAAAACCCCAAGAAGAAAACAGACAAGATGGTCTCGCAACCAAGAGAAAGGGTTCGGAAGCTGGTTATGCAAAGGGAATGTATTAACACCTTTCGCATCCATCGTACTCGATGGGAACCATTTGTTTGTCTATGTGTGAAGGTATTTGCTAAAAAATATTGCTATATAATAGTGTTCTAAGGGGGAAGAGACAGGTTGGAAACAGGGAAAAAAGACTCGGTAAAACCTCGCGGTCCTATGCCTACGTATTCTCAACAGGTATGAGAAAGTCAGAGTCAACGTAGTTTGGAGGACTACGGATAAAAGACAGGAAAATGCTCGACAAGGATTGGGGCCCTTGTGCCTATGTATCTTCACTTAAAAAAAGTGAAGAATCAGAGCAGTTGTAGTTTGACTTACGGTTTACTGGTGTTTTTGTGGACGGTGTTAGTGTGCGCATTCTAGCAGTTAGGTGTATTGCAGCCACTTGTGGAGTCTTAGGCGTTACCTGTTTGCGGTAAAACGGATGTAACATATCATTTTTGAAAAGAGATAGTTTTCACCATCGAGGCAAGATGTCACATTTGATTTGTGAAAGTTATTTTTAAGGGTGAAATAGGTCCTCGGATAGTAACCCCTTGCGGTTAGTACTCAATTCTTTATCTCAAAAGAATTATTGTGAAAAGGTGTAGCGAATATAGTCACGTTTTCATATTGAAAGATGAGTATCGAAACCACACACTCTACAGTGAATATCCTGATACTCGGAGAGGAAGAAGTCCTCACTCAATCCTCTCTCTTTTGTTCAATACAAAGAGAACTTCATTCTCTTATTAAAGATGCTTTGATCTTGAATGGTAAGCGCTTTACAACAGTGAACCCTAAAGGTAATGTCAAGCACTCGGGATAGGACAAGGCCTTCGCCTAACCACTCCACAACCATCCAAGTTTATTAGGAAAAGAGTTTTGAAAATGCACTTGGTACGAGACCAATGTTTTTAGACTCAAGGAGACAAAAAGAAATGTAGAAAAGTTTTGAAAAGAAAAGGTGATGACAATATCAAGGTAGGTTGATGGAGATGCACGGAGCAATCGACTTACAAGGGTGGAATACATGCAAGGTTGGTGTGTTTTGATGGAAGAGATGTGAAATGAGAAGGAGAAACCCTAAGGTGGTCCAAGTTGAAATGAGTTTGAAAATGACTTGACGTTGGATCAACCTCATTTGTTTTTTATTTTGAAAACATGTCCTAGCCTAATTTATTTTTATCTTTCTTACCAAATAGCGAGTAAGCAAGAAAAGAACTAAGTTATTACACTGTAACAGGAGGGGGATACATATAAAGTACAAGGGATTGCGAGAAATAAATGGTCTCATTGTCAGGTAGTCCAAGAGAAAGCCATGTGTGTGAGAGGTGTCCTAAACTAAACAATGAAGAAGAGTTCAGACAAAATATCCAAACTAGGGTTTATGTACAGGGTCTAGATTCCAACACCTAAGATAATGATCAACAGTCCTCCAATTAATCATTTTTAGGGTTTAAATAGTGTTATTGTGTTTTTTGGTATTTTTGAATGGGATAAACAACAAAAAAGTTAGATGAACAATATATGAATAATATGACAGGATGAATATGAACAATGATGATAAGATGAGCAAGATAATAAACAAGATAATATCAACAATAATATAAACTAAGAATATGTACAAGAATATATAAACAGTGATATAATGACTGAAATTAAATCGAGGGTATATTTGACTGAAAAGTAAAGCAATTGTATTGAACAAAAATTAAAATTAAGAATTAATGATTGAAGATCATTCTCCAATTTAATCATGTCGCACAGGCCAAAAAGAATGGGATATCGTCTTAATCATAAACTCGTGTCAATTAATCGAAGGTAAATCTCTCACGATCCCAAAGTATAGAAAAATGATCCAAATGATCATTTTCTACAAATTTGAAATAATGAAGATTATCGACTTCGATAAGTTGACGTTTACGAATGTAAAAACTTCATTGATCGATAAAATAAAATAAAATCGAGATGAAATTGAAAGCTAAGCTAGATCTCCGCTTAATCATAAACTCATGTCAATTAATTGATGGTAACCTATCACGATCACAAAGTAAAGAAAATGACCCAAATGGTCATTTTCCATAGATTTGACATAGTAAAGGTTATCGACTTCGATAAATCGATGTTTAAGAATTTCAAGACTTCATATATTGAGAAAATGAAATAAAATCGAGATTGAATAGAAAATAAGGAGAGGAAAAGAAAGTGGTATCGGACTAATTACTATTTATCAATAATTTGTCTGAGAATAATTTTCGAAGTCTCTTCGTCGACCCAAAATCGAAATAAAGTTAAAAAAAATAAAAATCAGAAAAAAATAATCAAAATGTAACAAAATAATTAACAAAACTTAGAAAAATATTAATAAAATAAAAACCACCAAATTACAAAATTAATTTAAAAACTTATCAAGATTTGTACTAAAAAATTTACATAATTGTGGATTAAAAAAAACATAAAAAATAAAACACGAAAGGGGGTTCAAAACCCATAAAGGGTATGGAAATAATGGGGGGATCATTTGAGTTTTATAAATCCCATCACCCAAAAAAAAAACATAAGGATTATAAAAGAGAAAGGGTGCTGATATGATGCACCATGGGCCATAAAGTCCAAAGCCCCACAACAAGGTGGGTTCTAAAACCCTTGGAACACAATAGACTATGGGTAAGACCCACAACGAAACAACATTACTCATCACTCATAAACAAGCATGAAAATGTGATAAAGAGAGAAACAGGGTAAAAGAATTCATCCGACATCGCATCATGAAAACAACATTGATGCAACGAAATCTAACACCTCAAAAAGGTTTGAATCAAATGCTCGTCATCGTTTATTGTAACACCCTTTTCTACCCCACAAATATTACGGCAAAAATAACACAAATTTCAGAGTAAAAATATTTAATTCAATAAAAATCACCTCAAAGGGCGTACATTTCTCAATGTCTCAAAATAAGTCAAAGCTCCGTAACACACGGGTTTTCCCAAAATACATCAAACTACACAAAGCAGCGGAATTCAAAGGCATAAAATCAAGGTTTCCTCCAAAAAGGGAAAGTAAGCAAAATAACTCACTGGTATAAAGTTTAACTCAAAGAACCCAACTCAATGTTACGTATCGGAGCAAGACCCTCTAAATTAACTAAAACAACTAAACTTGGTCATCCACGACTAAATTAACTAAAACAACTCAAAAACTTCAAAAATACTCCTCGACGGCAT